TCACTTTCCCCTCTTTATTAGAAGTTAGAAGCCCTATAGCTTTCAGCATCTTTCAGCTATTTGGGGACAAACACCGGGTGCAGCCATCAAACATGGAGCACATATGCATGCAAACATGCGGCCAGCGGCCTGCAAACAAATTGGGGCAATCCCTCTTGCAATTACCAGGAAAAACCGGGCAACAATTCTCAAGAGTTGGGGTGGTTCGGCCACGCAGCTACCGAAGGAGGAAATGTGCCCAGCTGTTGGAAAAAATAACATCAGTCGCTTTGCAAACGCATGCAAGTACTTTTTCATCGTAAGATACAATCCGTGGTCCATGATTAACTTACCTGAAGGGAGCTTAGCCCATTTGACGCATTCAAACGGTCGGCCATGTCTGCCAACGACGAACCAACACATTTTTCGTGTGGTTTCACGCGCGTGCACTCCTGCGCCACGCAGTGATCAGCATGCTTCCACATAAAGGTGGTGAGACTCCCTGTAGGTTTGCTTGTGCTTGGCTCGACGAACTGAAACAACAAAACAACAAACAAAACTACCGGCGCAGCAAGCGGAAGCGGAAGGACTTGTCACCGACAGAAGAACAAAAAAAAGACAACCGATTGTCCGACCAATTTCCACAAATTTGGAGCTGCAGCTGGTGATTGGCAGGCATTCTGTGATCCCGTCAGCTTGGGCGGTTTCTGCCGAGGTTCCTTCGTAGTTGCCGCCGTCGCCAATGTTAATAAACACGGGCCCGCAGGGGTGGGTGGCATTCTTGTACACCGGCCAGGTGCGTTCGTACGAATGGACCTAAGGATGGCGATTTGTTCAAAACATGGCTAGCTTCCTTCTCCTTGGCGGCCCGAACCCAAAAACACAAACAAACGCAGACTTGGACCTGCAGCCAAACTCGACTAACCCAGAAACCCGGTTGCTTGTCTTGGAGAAGAAACGTGTTCACTCGAGAATTGGCCTTGCTGCCCCAGCGGCGTGCCCGGCCACCACGAGATTCACTCCGTGTTCGAAAAGCATGTCTTCCAAGTCCTCTCTCATGACCTAGCGAAACACAACGCATTGAGGGAGAGCCCGAGCTGAGAGCTGCAGACTGGGGACCTGAAACTTAAAACCACAAAGAAAAAGGCACCCTCAAGAAAGACTCCCATAGCCTTTCAATACGAGCTGGCTCTAAAGACCTGAAACTTTCTGAAGCCTATGTCAAACTCACACGGGCAAAGCCAAAGGCCAAAGGGTCCATTCCTTCTGCCTTAACACCGGCGTTGCAGGGTGGCACGTGAAAAAGAAAACAGCAAACCCTCACGGCTGGGCCTCCCTTTTCCTCCCTGCCCCCTGCAACCAATAAACAGCCACAAGGCATTTCAAGCGTTCAAATACACACAGTTTGTCAAGATGACCATTTCCTCTGCCCTAAGTGTCGGGTGTGGTATTATGGGGATGCCCGGGTCTGCTTGGTCAAACGAAACCATCCCGACGCAAAGCAGACCAAGACCTGAGACCAGATTACGGTTACACGAACTTGCTTCCTAGCTGACCGTGAACATCCGCTTCAGCCAAAGGGGGCTAATCTGAACATGAAACAAGGGAGAACCAGCAACATTATCCATCCCATGTTCCTTCGAACATAACTTCCTGGACCTTCCATTGTCACATAAACTTGTGTCACAAAAAATGCTCGGGCCAACTATTCTTGCCACTGCCCGTTCCCCCCGACAAGGCTGGTTTCATGAACAAGGGCTTCGTGCAAAACAGAAAAAAAAAAAAAAAAAAAAAAAAAAAAAAAACACGCGACTTGCACATTTCACAAGGGGCACACATGTATGCAACAAATGACGTGTCCAGGTCATTACAAGTCGTTGGTGGGTCTTGTGAGAGCTCGAGATTCTATTAATTGTGGGGTGTTCCCCTCCAAAAGGGTCGATTCCCACTAAGCCCTGGAGTTGATTAATCCCGGGCTCCATGTGAACAACTTCTCCCTTCAAAGAAGTCCTCTGCTGTCAGCTTCCACTCGCCTCAGCCTCGCCGAGGTGGCCCAAGTTGGAGTTGTACCAAGGCGCGTGCATCACCACCTCTGTGAGGTCCCGGCTTTTCGGCATTTTGGGCTTACGTCCGGTCTGCTCCAAAACCCTGCATATATTCCCGCGTGACGCTGAGAAACCCCGGCTTTTGCCTGAAACCCGGCTTTTGCCTGAAAACCCGGCTTTTGCCTGAAAACCCGGCTTTTGCCTGAAAGCCCCGGGTTTTTGAAACGACCCTACTTTTCAGGACGTCTCTGGTCTTCTTTGGAAACCCTGCCTTTTTCCGCATTTTGATTGAACTCCCCGGGTTGAATTTTGAACCCCCGGCTTTTGATGCAAGAACAGGGCTGTGAAGTAAACTGCCATTTTGTTGAAGGGGCCACTGCTTCAGCATGACGGGTTGCAGGCTAGAGGAGTGACAAATACAAACAATGCAGGCCGATGGATCAACCCCAGCTTCCAAGGCACTTCCGGGATCCTGTTCAAAGTCTATTGGGGTGAACTACTGTATGCGATTCTCATGCAGGTTTGCCTGGATTTGGCCACCCTGGGCTGAGCTGGTTTCCAGGGTTGAGGAATGCTTGAACAAGGCAAGCTCCCTTTGGGTGCCGAACCCGTACGTAATTCGTTCTGCAAAACCCCGGTTTTTCTCAACCCGTACAAAACCCGCATCAACCCGCACAAAGCCCGAAAACAAATACATGTTAAAAACATGGGTTCTGGGAGGCCGCGGAAATGGCTTGCGCCCTCCCGAATCACGTATTGAGCTCGACAAAGCGCAGAAATGTGAGCGAGGGCAACTCCTTGTCATCAACCCCTATCAGCCAGGGTCAGGTTTTGCTTGCTTTGGTGTCGAAGCTCAGTTTGGAGCACATACTTCGCGCCCTGAAGGCTACAGCTTGACAATCAAATTAGAATGCCGCAGTAGTGCCTCAGCTTTCCCAGTGACTTGCTTTCCCAGTGACTTGCTTAGCATTTTGCTATAAGCATTGCGTGGATGTTGGACACCTCAAGACAAAACAATCTGTGAACACAGCTCCAGGATTGCACCCGTTGAGCTTGTTGGAAAGTTGTGGGAAGGTATGATAGAAACTTCATAAACAAGTTCCAGCACAAACCGGGTTTCCTCAAAATCCTCCAATATCCACGACTTTGAGTGGACAGATTTGATAGGTTTTCGCAAAACCACAAACCTGCTGATACCAAAGCAACACCACAAAAAACAGCACTTTCGGAGTTTGTTGTACGACGCGCGACACACACTTAAACACACCCTAGAAACTGGTCAAATTCCCCCCTAGACACCGGTCAAGCTATCTTCTAGAAGCCAATCAAATCCTTTCTAAAACCAACCAGTAGAAACCCGTCAAACTTGTCTAGAAAGGTCAGCATCAACCAAATTGTCCTTGAAGCCATGTGGAAAACGCGCAAACATGCACCCACCCTCTGTCCGACTCGCTCACTCAAACAAACACCACACCTCGAGGCAAACCAAAACACAGGACCTCAAAGCCAGCCAAAACCATACTGGCCGAGGCGGGCAACGCGCAGCGTTTGCAATTATTTCTGGATCAGCAGGAGAGTTGCAGATTTCAAGGGCATGGCCTCCAAACGATCTTGGGAAAGGACCCCGTTGCGAGTTGGAATCCGCGAGTTTGCAGTTGGCATATTCAGCGAGTCCCCTGCTCAAGCGCCTTCCAGCAGCTTGAGGTCCGTTTTTCGCCAGGTCGTTTTGCAATGAAACCGCGCGTCTACGTTGCCTAGTACGTGGTGGTCGGAGTGCGTTGCCTCTGCGCCAATGCGCCTTCATCGGCTTGAAGGTATCTGCGCCTGATGCAAGTGACCGGCTTGCCTGCCGGCATTCTCGCGAAGACACCAAGTGTGCAGAGGGGTGGTGCGGCCAATGTACCACTCGCCGGCAACGCTGACAACCGGTGTGCACGAATTACCCCGCACCTCAAGCCAGAGGAGACTGCTTCGCCAGGTGGCGGTGACGCCCCTCTGCCACAATCCGATTGCCAACCGAGCACTTTTTTGATCCGTCAGGTATTCCTGACTGCCTATCGAGCAACCTGTTGGAGATTCCGATTTGATGTGCTGCATTCGGACAAATTGCCTTGTAGCAGCTTTGCTCCAGCCCACCAGCAGGTCCAAGAGCGATTTGACAGCGACGTACCATGTGAAGCCTAGAAGCCTTCCTTCCTGTGAAAATCTCAGTTTCAGGACATGCTCATCGAGGGCCATGGTATAATCGAATTCCACCTGTTTGAGAGAACACATCCAGAGGCCTCTGGACGCGGTTGCACCAAGGCAGGGATGACAACTCCTCCACAAAATTCTGTGACGCACAGCGGCGCAGAACACCTTCCGCTGGCTGCCGCTCTGGTGGTGCATTGAGCTCAGACCCCACTGTTGAGGTCGATGCCCCAGTGATCCCCCGCAAAGATTCCTCTCCCGCGGTGGGAGTGGCCCCTGTCCCGCTGTTGAGCCCCTCGCTCCAGCAGTTCAGGTGGCAACTCACCGTCTCGCCGGCCGGCCGCGTGCTATGCACGCCGGGATGGATGTGTGAAAGAGTGAACATGCCAAAAGATCCTGGAGTGCCAGGATGAATCGGGAAAAGTGACGTTGCCCTGTAACTGCGCTTCTCTCCAATTGGTGGTTTGGACTTGTGGGGTTATTTCTCAGGGCCCAGGGGCTAGCTTCCCAAGTACCCTCTACATGAACCAAGGTTTCAAATCCAAATCCAAACCATCAATCCAAGCCACCGACGGGCAACCCCCAGTCCTAATCGGGAGGCCCTGGAAAGGAATCCCAACTTTGCAGCCTTCATATCACGTGGGGGATGAATCGGGGGCTTGACATTGACCAGTTAGGGACCCAGAAAACAAATGTTAACCTTGGGCCATGACTAGTGCGAACCTCAAAAGAAGAGTCTCTGGACGATTCGCTTTGCAAACAAGTGAAGGAAAAGGCACACCATTCTCAAACTGGGACCTGCCAAGGTGCTACCAGCCACGGCGTCTTGGTGCGGTCGAAGTTCTGAACGAAACGACCCAGTGAACCCGTTGGCACCAAAACCGGGAACCGAATGCGTGTGTCTTCACGAGCACCGCGGTTCGCAGAGCGGTTTCACCAAAATTCAGAACGCCCCCCCCAAGAAAAGAGAGGCGCTTTTGGAACATGGTGTTTTTTCATCATCTCCAAACAACTGCAACGGTGATTTGCCCTTTGGTCCCGCCTTTCAACTACCAACAGGAGACTTTACCGACAAGCAAAGCCATGTAAGCCATGCAGGGCTGTCCCTGCAAACTTATTCTCTTGTTGGCTACATTGCTATTATTATTCAAAACCCAGTCCATTGGGAACCAGTATGCTTAACATGTTTAGGTACATTACTTATTACTGAATCATATGCATTAACGTTTAGTGAATACTTATATATGGATACATACCTGCATTTCCCAAAGTGTGGCAAATGTCCGCCTTTGGAAAGAAAACTGCCTTTTCAGTCTGGGAAAATGTATTTCTGCCTCCAGGCGTGTTTGTGCAAAAACAACTTTGTGCGAGGTCAAGCTGGTCAGCAACATGTTGCCAACGGCGTTAGTCGGCCATCAAATGTTGCCACTCAAGCGGTGTTGTTTGCTGTTCGCAAAGGTTCGTGAATATTCACAAATTGCCCCAAAGACGTTTTAGGGGACCAAGCACGTTTATGTTCAGCAACGGCGGTGCAATTTCAATCTGTGGCAGAAATTCGGCACTTCTGGGTTGTCCAGGTGTATTTATTATCACTGAAGCTATGTCAACCCTGTAGCTGCTCAACTGGACTATGATGAGGGTACCCTCAGAAGTGTTTGTATCCAGTTGGGTGTAAATTGGAAGGGACATCATATGCAACACCAACAATGTTGGAGGTCCTCTGGTTTGCGTCAAATCCATGCTGCCATACTAGCGAAGTAGTGAAGGTGGTTGACCCTTTCAAATCTCAGATTTCGGAAAATTGCCCTCTCTGCTTCTGTTTTTTTTTGGGGGGGCTCATCCAGCCGCAATACAGCACCAACCAAGCTTCAACGTCTGGGTCTCTCTATTTGTGAGGGTACCTCTGTTCGTTGGTTTTAAAGCGACCCTCCCCCTTGCTGGTGGTTTTCCCCGGAGATAAGGAAGTGAGCCCATGAGCCATGTTTACCACCCCAAACATTTGGCCCTAGACTTGGGCATCATGTTTTGACAGCGCAGCAAGTGCTGGTGATTGTTCATCGGCGACCCCTATGTCGGAATCAGATACGTGCGGTTTTGTGGAACCAGCCGTTTCTTTTTCGAGGGTTCCCCAACGCCTCCCGTTGCAGCTTTCTTTGAGTCTCCTTAAGCCCTGTCGAGGAACACACCCGGGGACCAAGGATTCAGGAAAATCCTGGGGCCCCCCAGTGAGCCGCCCGAACTGGCGTCGCCCCTCAATCCTTGTCCATTTGCAGACGTGCTCTGGCAACTCAGAAGTGATAGGTTTCCTTTGCCCCCATATCCCCACATCTGAGTCGGCAAAAAGCGAGCACCTTGAGGTCGCGCTCCAGCCACTTGTACTGGAAGCTCCCGGAGTGCGTGGAGCCGTAGCTGTTCAGGGACACCACCTCAAGCAAAGCAGGCGCCAAACCAAGATTCCCTACGCAAACGCATTCCCCAACTTATGAAACCATCAAGAAACCCAGCCCCCAGTTTAGGGGGGTTGACGGGCACGGTTCCTCCCCTGAGCCCCAGCGACGGCTTTGTTGGGAAACGGGCATCGGGGGATGCCAAGGTTCCATCGATGTATCAGAACTCCTCCTGCCGGTTTCTTCGGAAAGAGGCGCACAACGTATAAAAAACCGGTATTCATGCGGGCTCGCAGGAAAAAGCTAATGTTCAAAACCAACGGCCACTTCAATCTGCAAAGGGGCAAGCATGCAAGTTAAGAGCGCGTCAAACAGACAACTTCTTCTGTGGCTGCTGGCCTGACGGCAGAAAAGCCTAAAGCTAAGGACCTAAGGACCCAAGGATGCCTCTTTTGTCCCCAACATGGACTGCACAACTGAACCCTCGAGCTAGCCTTAATGCCAAGCATAAGCTCTAAGGGTTTGATCATCATCCCTACCCAAACCAGTTTGAGAAAGAGGGCCGCAGGTGAGGTTGCAGCGTGATCCCCCAATTCCAGCTGTCTAGTCTTCCAAGAAGATCGAGGGAATTCGGAATGAAACTGCTCATTTTTCAGGGGAACACAGGATGCCAAAGATACCCTACCCCTATCCTACCCCTACAAGTGGATTGCAAATCATTGGATCCCATTGCTTGGCCAACATGTGGGTAAGCGACAACTCATCTACTTTTCAGATTCTGGCCCAAGAATCATGTTGGAAGCTGCAGAGATAGCCTCCAGACCATCCACACACAATTCCCTTGTCTAGATCAAAATGTTTTTTTTGGTACCACTTTTTTTGTGGGGGTTTTAAGGGAGACATGAGAAACAAAACAACACACCCGCTTACTTTTGCGGCTTCATGTTTTCCACCTCAGGTTTCCTTTTCCCTGATTGGTGGTTTGGATTGGTTTGGATTTGGAATTCAAGGTCTGGTTCTTGTTGAGGGTAATGTTGACCCCATATTAATCAAACCCAGTTTGTTAATACAGGGGGTGTCCCTGGCTTTAGTGAGGAATCACCGTTGAAGGGGGGCATCGAAGGGCAAAGTTGTTCGAGGCACATGCATCGGCCCAATGTCTCGGCTCCAGTAGGTGGCATCCTCGATCGGGGCTCTGCAAGTCGCAAGAGCGTGCCGAGGAAGGCGAGTTCGGGACTTGGGCCAAACATTCGGAGTGTTCATGGTTGGTTTAGGTTGGGTTTAGGGTGGGTCTAGGGAGGTGTCGGTTAGGTTTAAGGTGGGTCTAGGATGGGGTTAGGTGATTCCAACAATTTTCAGGCATTTTCAGAAAATCGATGCCTAGGAAAGAATAGAGGCTAGCCCTAAAACAATGGAAACCCTGGTGAAAACCCCTGATTGATTGGCCGACTGCTAGGGGCAAACCACTTTCGACGCGTGCATTTGGCCATTCAGTCTGTTCTTGTCTGAGCGTCCCCCTTTAGTGGTTGGATCCTTCTATTCCACAAAAGAAACGGAAGCCAGAAACAAGGGATCCCCGAGAAAGAAAGTTCACCCGGACTCGGAGAGCTCGCAAAGAGTTGTGAAACCTTCTGTGAAGCCGTTTGAGCGGCTCCACGGTATTAAGGGGCTTTCCCTCCAAAAGTAATGAACCCCACTAAAAGGCGTCGTGTTGGTGAGGACCCGCAGCACGAAACACGATTCGAGTCTTTGGGGGAGGGGTTCGGGGCAAAAATGATTACGACCAGCCCTATCTCGGCACTGCACACGTGCCTGCCAAATGGTGAACACCACCGCTCAAGCACACACCCTTCACAAGGATCCGCGCAGAACTGCGCACATGCCCGCCAAATGATACGCACACCCTTGGCCCTCGCACGTGCGTCCGCACAGCACCGCGCACACACACACACACACTCACACACACACACTCACACACACACACACACACCAGACACACAGACACACAGACACACAGACACACAGACACACAGACACACAGACACACAGACACACAGACACACAGACACACAGACACACAGACACACAGACACACAGACACACAGACACACAGACACACAGACACACAGACACACAGACACACAGACACACAGACACACAGACACACAGACACACAGACACACAGACACACAGACACACACAGACACACAGACACACAGACACACAGACACACAGACACACAGACACACAGACACACAGACACACACAGACACACAGACACACACAGACACACAGACACACAGACACACAGACACACAGACACACAGACACACAGACACACAGACACACAGACACACAGACACACAGACACACAGACACACAGACACACAGACACACAGACACACAGACACACAGACACACAGCACACAGACACACACAGACACACAGACACACAGACACACAGACACACAGACACACAGACACACAGACACACAGACACACAGACACACAGACACACAGACACACAGACACACAGACACACAGACACACAGACACACAGACACACAGACACACAGACACACAGACACACAGACACACAGACACACAGACACACAGACACACAGACACACAGACACACAGACACACAGACACACAGACACACAGACACACAGACACACAGACACACAGACACACAGACACACAGACACACAGACACACACACACACACACACACACACACACACACACACACACACACACACACACACACACACACACACACGCTCACACACTCTGACACACACACACACACAAACAGATTTCACCCTCCAGAAGACAGAACCAAGCAGGGCTTTTTAATGCGTGCTCCCCATCAAAACCAGATGCCACAGTTACCCAAGTCAGCCTGAATACCCACCGCTCCCCCCTAGTGTCCTGGCCTGCTGAGTCGACTATCTAGCAAAACCTGAAACTGGTTGGCCCAAAAACGATGAAGAAGCTACAAGTTTGTTTTGGAAGCTGAAGTGGTAGGATCCAGGTCCTCCAGTTTCCGGGGTTCGGCTTGAAAAGGGCTTGGGTCAAAGGGTAGACCATGAGTGGCTTGGTTATTTGGGACCTAACCAAAAGGGAATGGTCCAGCAGGGGTCGGGAGTTGACCCAACCAATCCAACCCAACCAAACCAAGTTGGAGTTGTAACCTCAAACCCCAACCTAGGTTTTGGATTCCAACAGTTGGGGGTTTGAGGGTTAGGTTGCAACCCAAACCCTAACCTGGGGTTTGGGCCTGCCTGGCCCAACCAGATCATAGCCCCCCCAAGGTTGGGGGGCAGGTTGGAACTAACCCTAACTTGGGGTTGCAACCTAACCTCCAACCTGCCTTCCTATTTTAGGAAAGCTTGCCAGCGGGGCGCAATCCCAACTCCAACCTAGACTAGGGTAGAGGTTAGACCCCAACCCCTCCACCGCGAGTTGCTTGGCGCAACTCCCTACAGATTACGCTCAACCCGTGTGGACGCTATGGGGGGGAAGGGGGGGCTGCCGCCCCCCTACTATGTTTAAAGCTTGAATCGTGTTTGGAAGAGTACTTTCCTTGTTGGAGAGGCCCCTGTCCTGCATTGGAAAGAGGGTGCAAGCCGCCATCTAACTGGGGGTTTGACAAGAGCAAGCCGAGGCGTTTAGGCCTTTGCTTTGGTCCTCGCCAAGCGAACATCTCACTTCCATGGTGATATGCGTCCTTGGTGTGTTTGTTGTTGCTTATTGTTGTTGTTGATTGAAACCTGAATACGTTGATGACCATGCTAATGAATAAGCAAATAAAGAGCTAATTGCAGGACCAAAAAAAAGAAATCAATCAATAAATCAGTACATATATATATATATATATATATAAGACAAACTCGTATTTCATGGCAACCAGCCTCCTTCCCAGGAGACCGCCGCTAAAAGAGAGAAAGGCCGAACTTTTGCGGGGGCTGGGGCTCAGGGGGGGATTGGGGCTGGAATCAACTTCCAAGCCCAGGCTTTTCGGCTCGAAACAGAACCGAGGTGGGACCGGTGGGATGCCGCCGAGCAACGTGGGAGCCAGATTGCTCCTCGGCGGCCCGAAGGGGGCACTCACTTTGGGCCCATCGAAGGCAAAGCACACCAACTCCGGCAAGACTCAATCAAATGAAATCTCAAATCCCTCAAATCCAAAAAAAAGCTGGGTACTAGGTCTGGAAAGATTGGACAGATTCTCGCCCCCTGTTGGCTTACTTTTGGGAAAATGAACAACTATTATGGGATATAGTAGTGCAGGGTGCAACAAAACAGCAGCGAATGAGCACCAAGAGCACGATGTTTTGATGCCAGGAGTACCTGCCCCAACCCCATTCATTCCCTGCATATTCCCCTTCAAACATTACCCCTACCAAGGAAAGCTCACCTTAGTAAAAGCACCGTAAAGGCAAATGTAGGAACCCCTGCCATTGTGAGACGAGCGGAAACCAGGATGAATTGACTCTTCTCTGATTTTGGTTTGTTCAAGGTGTCCTAGTTTAGGGAACCTGAGTGGAACAAACACCACCTATTAATCCGACTGGTCGATCATGCCAGGGTCAACCTCAATAATTTTAGGGGCTGATTCCCTTTTCAATCATCCTCTTTTTTGGAAGCCAGCAATGTTAACTCCATGTTATCCCCGAATTGATCAACTGTGGATTAATAGGGGTCCACTGTTAGTGGGTGTCATCACTTTTGGAGAGAAGCCCCTGTTGATATTATATAACCCGGGGTCAAGTGAGTTTCCTCTGGATGCTCGGCAGTTCCACAAGATTCTGGAAACACGGCTCCACGTCGGCTCAATGCATCTGAGCAGCGTAAGGCATGGGGTACCGCACCGCGAAGCCTCAGCTCGCTCCAAACGAAAACCAAACCGACACGTCCAGTGTCTAAGAGGCAATCTTCCCTAGTCGCTATTGCCCCCTATTGGGATTGGGGGGAGCCCTATTGCGGGGGTTTTGACAACCACACAGAATCTACCGGAAATTGTTTAATTGGCTGTAAAACCGGATGTTGGTGGCTATAGATAACTTCCTGAAGATGGTTGCTTGGTTGGCTTGATCGGTTCCCCCCCAAAAAATACGGCCCCCCCGCACAGTTTGAGTTTTTCTCCGGCGCCGCAATATTCAATATTGATGGTACCGGGCGGGGGACCGGCTCATCCAAATGGGAGAAGGGACATGTGGTGCCACCAAACAACAGCTTTTCTCAGTCAGGGCAATTTTGAGTGAATGCCAACTTGGACATGTTGGCGAATGAACATTAAGCAGGGGGCAGGGATCAAGCCGACCACCAAACGTACTCATAGGATCCAAGCCTCCCTTTCATGTATACTGTACGGGAGTGGATTGTTTCATGTTGGCTTCGATTCTTCAAGAGCACGAAAAACAACCATGACTTTCCCAGTGACCCCTGGAAGGGCCAATTGCATGTCCGCCTTATTGTAGTCACTCAGGTAAGTTTCCTGGGTACCCTGGTAAGGCCTAGAGGCCTACCACGGGGGACACCGAAAACCCGCACCCCGAACAAATACCGTTGACCCCCTTTTCCAGGAAATAAGAACAAACATTGGTGTCTTTTTTGGAGGGTACACTTTCTTGTGCTTTTTACAAGAGGATGGCTGCTCTGGGAGAGAAAGACCTGGACTCGACCCGTTGGTGTCGATTCCACATGTAGTGGGTCCCGAACCCACCTACCAAAAGGGACACATCACAGAAGAGCTTTCATGTATAGGCAAAATAAATGTTGTTTCTCAACAACCATGATATCCTGAAACCTTGAGCATATGTGTCATTTGATCTCCGTTTCAACCATGGGCGCATACATGTCAATATATATATATATATATATATATGCCAATATATATATATATATATGTAGATATAGTCATTGCATGGACGTCTACATATATGTATCTTACAACGTCAATAGATGTACATATGTGCATGTTACAAATGTAACATGTACATATCACATATCTATATGTATCTATATCTGTATATATCTACATACATACACACATGTAAATGCAACCGTAGACCGTGCCTGCCTCTTTTCCCCTGCCGTCCCCCATCGACCGAACCCACCGGCCGGGGGGCTTTTGAAGGCCTCGGCGGTGGCGTACTCGTGGTTCCCCGGGCAAGTCATGGAGGGCACGCGGGCGCCCAGCGGCTCGAACCTGGGGGCACAAGCGATGGGATGTCGCGTGGGTTTTTGGGGATGTGCCCCTTGGCTTAGTTTGAACGGAAACCTAAAACGAACACCGAAGCCTGATTGATTTTGGAAGGGGAAGGGGTGGCAAAAATAAAGAAGATAAATCCCAGATGAGCTCTTGATGTTTCAACTCACTTCCTGAGTGGGTTGGCCAGATAAAGTAACCAAACTTTATGTTCCTAAAATGGACATACCAAAATGTATGTAGACCTGGAACTCAGAAAGTGCGGCTCCTCTTTAAAACATCTGTTCAAAGCCACCTACATGGAAATTAAGCACCCTGCTGAAGGCTTTTCCAATCAGAATCGCATGAGTGCTACACTTGTGGCTAAATTGCCCCTGAGCAAACCCAAGTTGATAGTGGGAACACAAGTCTTTTCCTGAAAGACAGGCTGAATATTCAACCAAATAGCCGCCAAACTTCAGCGCCTCCGTAAACTTCTTTCAGAATCCACCGGGCAAATCCTTCTCACTTTCCAGGACCTGGAAACCATGTTTTACCTGTTGGTCCGTTGAACAGAACGTGACGTTGGAGAGCCTTCGGTCAAAAGGGAAGGCTTGGCCCCAATTGGGATCGGTGCGTGGGGCAGGGTGCACACAATTCGAACACACAGGGCTAAATCATTAGAATGGGGCCGTACTTTCAAAACCATAGGGAAGAAGGGAAGATCCTCTTCATCATCATTTCGTCGCTTCTGCTACCTCCTGTTGTAGCTGACAGTGCCAGGGGGGGGCCGGGGGACGGATGACCTTTCAGGAGCCTCGGGACTTCCGTCGGTCCTGTTGGAGGGGGAAGCTTTGAAGATGTCTGAAAGATATGGCCGTTTTTGTCAAAAATCGGGTAACCCCAAAATGGGTTATTTTGGCAAATGGAAATATGGACTCAAACCTGCTCTCCCTGAAAGCCGAATTTTGACCCATACCTATGTGTTAGGCCGCAATCAAAGGGATTGGGCTCTGGCAAGCTTCCTTAATTTACTTGGAGTGGCTGCAACGGACTTCAAACAGCACGGGGAAATCCCATGTTGGAGATCGCCATAACATATCAGTTTCCTTGCAATTGGTGGAGCCCGGTGATGTGGTGGTTTGGGGTGATTTCCCATTTACTCTACAAGAGCCAGAGGCCCCAGTCAATTTCAAATTCAGTTCCCACCCGATCCAGTTACCCTAAACAGCTCAAGGAAAACACGGCCAACCTTTGAGGACCAAAAGGCAGCCGGATTTTTTTTGTTTGGGAAAGTGATCCTGTACGGTGGAACCGGTAAGCCTCCAACCCCCTAAAGTTTTCTGCCAGCCTGCGCACATGTTTTCTTGCCCCGACTTACCCCTGTGCCTTGCCTCGAGCTGGGGTTTTACCCTTGAGAGGGGTGGCAAATGAAAACACATGCTCTGTTAAAGTCATGGGGGCTGGGAGGGAGGGAGGGAGGGAGGGAGGGAGGGAGGGAGGAGGGGGAGGGAGGAGGAGGGAGGGAGGAGGAGGGAGGGAGGGAGGGAGGGGAGCCTTATTTGGGGCTTTTTTGGGCTCCCTCCCCCTCCCCTCCTCCCCCCAAGCCCCCATGATAAAGCATCTGTCGGGTTCGATATGGGATCCAGTTTGCATTCAAAGGACCATCAATATGTGCAGCATCCTACAAGCCGTTCGAACCCACTGAAGGTCACCAAACAGATGCCCGTCTTGCGATGAACGCCATGGGAGTTGTAAAGCCATGGGGGACTGCGAAGGTGCCTTTGGATGCAATCCAGCGAGCTGCAAACGTGTTCTCACTATATTAAACGCCGTGGGAAGCCAACGAGGGTTTGTTGCAGTAGGGTCCAAATACTTACACACAACAGAGACATGACTATCCTACGACAATGAAGTAATTTGGTTCTAAGCATCCCCGGCAAACCAACTTAGTGGAATCTCCCTTTAGCTCTGATTCTCCTCTTGGCCAAGCAGCATGATGCCAAAGGAATCCCAGCGTGGAAAAAAGCCTGCGACTCGCGAGACACAAACCACCGGCACTCCCTCGACCGTTCCCAGCATCTGGCCCCCGGGTTTGGGCCGCGACCATTTTGAGAGGGGAAGCCACCGAGCAGAAAAGGGGTTCGGCTGCTGAATGGGGTCAACAAGGGGGGCTTTAGTCCAAATCCAAAAGGAAAAAGTGCGGAGGGCAAACCAGCTTGCCGAGTCCAATTTGGGTGTTTCGCTCATTGGATCCCGGATAACTGGCTTTTTTTGGAGGGAAGCCAAGTGGTCGGCCTGCCAAATACACTGTGGGATGCGTTCCCCCAAACATATCCGCTCTAGATGGGCCTTCCGATTCAAAGAATGACCTTCCAGGTAACATAGTCGACCACTTCAACTTGTTCGAAGCTCACGTTATGTCTTATTCTCCAAGGCGCAACCACACGCCACTGGGTAGGTGCCCCTTTTTGCTAGAGAAATGATAGTAAACCGATTGGGTATGTACCCAGGGAATATCTTTCTGGTACTCAGGTATTAGGTGGGGCCCTTCGATTTTTTGGCAGCCCCCCAGCCAACCATCTGGACAAATCACTATTCACCAAGAAAGGATCCTTCAGAGCTGGTTTTGACACCTGGATCGGACCCAAAAGTAACTATCGCTTGGAGAACCCCTCAGAATGCAACCACTTACCCAAGAAAATCGCAAAAACAAACATCCCTCATTGCTTTAGGGGTGTTGAAAAGATAAGACAAGGTCTCTGGATCATCGGGGGCCAAAAAAATCATCCAGGGCCAAGGTCTCCCTGGTCTCCCTCCGCTGCAAACGCCATCGACCCCCCAAAAGAATTCGCCATCGGCCCCGGCCGTCAGCGTAGGACAGGTCTCCAGTCATCAGCACCAGTTCCGGGTTCAGCTGGGAGAGCAGGTGCATGCCTCACTCTGAAGATATGGGTCTGCTTTTTGTGAGGAATCGGACCCCCCCAAAGTTTCCTTTTAAAACCACAAAATGGGGGGAGGGGGACCCCAAACAAAAACACACCCAGATGTTGTCCAAGGATGTCCCATCCCGGATAGTAGGTTTGTAAGTTCTTTGAGACTTCCAGACTTCAAGACTGCACGCCAGGGCCCCAAGGAACCATAGATCCCTGCAACATCCAGACCGCAAGTCAGGCTTCATAGGCGCAAAGGCAAACCCCCCAAAGGGGCCGGATCCCATTCGTAGCCTAAGCCAAAAGAGAATCGTCTTTGCCGATTCGCTTTGGTGAAAAGTCATTTACAAGCGGAAGGAGTCCCTGGATGTGACGCATGTTGCCGTACATGCCTCACACGAAGGCTGACAAAAGGTTGCATCAAACCTTCTGCAAGGTTTACTTTTGTTCCCGTTTGAGGACCACACGAAAGTATGCTCCCAAAACACGAGGCAACATTCATACAGCCGGGGTGGATTGTAAGAAATCGCCAAGTCTTGGTGAGCAGTCGGGGATAGGGAGTGTGGGGGGCGGTTGAACCCTATGTCACAGGGCTCCCTCTTTTGCTCAGAGTTGGTAAGTCATCTTGGGTGCCTTAGAAACAAGACACCTCTTTGGCGACGCGAAGTTTTCCAACAACTTGGCCAGACTGCAGAAGGTTGTCCTGTGGCTGGTTCTCAGGAAGAACCTGAGGGCCAAACAGCAAAGCGCTTGGTTGAGACCCTTAACACAAGGGACCCAACTTTGATTTCACTTGGCAACCTGCAAGGAAACTTGCTGGTGCTCAGTAGGGAATGAGGGAATGCCCCCTATCAGCCAACGGGTCCACGTGGGTTTCATTCCCTACCTCGCACCAGCAAGGAATCAACCAACAAAGTCGCCAAGTTGAGGCGGCCGAAGTGCTGGAGTTGGACACGGGTGTCTGCCCGATATCCCCCACCAAGCCGACGTGGTAGGGATACTTCTGGCCCTCCTGCCAGGTCGGACTCTGGGTGCAGGATAGACTCTGGTTCCTGGTTGGCGACAAAGGCCATCACCTTGAGCGAAGGGAGAAGCTAAGTCACACACACAGACCCATGTGTTCAAGCCGATGTGCTTAAACATGTGCGCCGCAGTTGCGGGAAGGACCTAAGGCAGGGAGGATGACCTAGGCTTCCTTCCGGCTGCCTAAGGCTGCTTTATGCACACACCTCTCGTTGGACCCATCTTCGAGTTCCAAGCCGAACATGTTCAAACTTCAAACCTCTGTTTGAACAACCCCCGTTCGGTTTCTCTTGGCAGGGGGTGGGGTCAGGGCCTGGTCACCAAACAAATAGCATGGAAGCACAAACAAAACAGAATGGAGTTCTGGGGGACTTAAACAAAATGCTATTCGCAATTAACTATTCGGGAGGGGAGGGGTAGAGGAGTGGAGTGACTTGCTTGCATCGCCTCAGCTCTTAAGAGGTGAATGACGAGCCTTGCCCCCAGAAAAGACACCGCTCTTTTAACCATGGCACACTATGGGTTTTGCCTTGCCTGCGGCATGGTGAACTCGAACTTGCGGTTGTCATTGTCCACCTGGAATTTGTCACACAGACGGCCGACGACGCAATTACTTCGAAGAAGAATACACACCGATAGGAAAACAAACAAGCCAGCGAGCAAGCAAACAATCAGCACACACACACACAGAAACACGCAAAGGATCACAACGAACAAACAAGCAACCAACAAGAACAACGACAACCAACCTGCAACAACACTCAGCGAAACAAGAAACAACAACAACAACAACAAAAACAAAAGGAACAAGCAAACAAACAAACAAACAAACAAACAAGCAATCGAGCAATCAAACAAAAACAACAAAAAACATACAAACACACAATCACAAACAAACGAGCAAGCACGCAAGCAAACACGCAAGCAAACACACAAGCACATAATCAATCAAACAAACAAACAAGCACACAAGCAAACACACAAGCAAATAAACAAAACAAATAAGAACGCTAACAAACAATCAGAACAACACCACCTAAGCCAACCAAATAGAGAAATCAAAAAGCAACACCACAAGCAAGCAAGCAAGCAAGCAAGCAAGCAAGCAAACAAACAAACCACCCCAAAACCAAACCAATCAAGCACACAAACAAATAAACAAACCAACAAACAAACAAACAGACAGACAAGCAGACAAGAGGCAAAAAGGCAAACCAACAAACACCAACAAAGAAACACACACAAACACACAGACAAAACACACAATACAACAACAAAGCACACAAACACATACACAAGATATATAGACAGACAGACAGACAGACAGACAGACAGACAGACAGCCAGCCGGGACAGACAAACAGACAGGCAATCAAGCAAGCAAGCAAGCAAGCAAGCAAGCAAGCAAGCAATCAAGCAATCAAGCAAGCAATCAAGCAATAAAGCAACAACAAACACGCAACCAACAGAAACAAACACGCAACCAACATAAGCTAAACAACCGACACAACAATGCAAGCAAACCAATGAAGGGTTGCATGAACGAACAAAGACACAAAGTCACAGGAACAAGCAAACTAAATGAAGATACTACAAAAACAATCAAGCAAGCAAAACAACAAAGCAAAAATAAAGGTCAAACACACGTACGGACGGACGGATGGGACGGAGCAAGCGAGCGAGCAAGCAAGACAAGCGAGCAAGTAAGACAATAATAAACCATCGAGTAACAAACAAACAAACAAACAAACAAACAAACAAACAAACAAACAAACAAACAAACAAACAACCACCAAACAAACACAAACCAAACACAACGCACAAACGCGGTAACAAACAAACACGAGCTAGTCAGTGACGTAACGAAACAAACACAAGAGCACATCAAAAGAGACATCTCACTTCTCATTCAACCCCCCCCGGACTCACCCACCCCTCCCCGCCCCACCCCTTCTGGAAGGGTTTTTTTGTCGCCTGATAGGTGTAGGTCACCCCGGGTTGCAGGTCCGACAAAACCACCGTGTGGATCGCCGGGGAGTCGTACCGCTCCTCGAAAAGGACCCGAGAACCCGGGACCCTTCCCACTTAAAGACTAAACTTGGTGGATGATGCCTTGCCAAAAAACTAAAGCGGTCTTGTGGCATAATGTTGACCCTGGATTCAGAAACAGGTCCTAAGAGGGGGCTCCCTGCAAAAGAGATCACCTTTATCTTAGAGAAAAAAAAAGGAGAAACCAGTTGTAATCAATCAGTTTGTTGTTAGAAGAATCCGGGCAGGGCTCCCCCCCCCCACCCACCTAGCAATTGCACCAAGTTGAATCATCACTTCTTAGAACATCATGGTGGGGGGGGGGCTGCCGGCCCCCCAACCCCCCCGCTACGTTTTAGATTTTCTACAGAGATTTAATTGCACCCCAATTTGAATCATCACTTCTTCGAACGTCACGGGGGGGGCTGCCGCCCCCCCCAGCTACTTTTCAGACTGGTTGCAGAGCTATTCGAATCATCACTTCTGCGAACATCATGGGGGGGGCTGCCGCCCCCCCCAATCCCCCCGCTTTTTGGTTGTTTTTACAGGGTATAAAATGCCCTCCTATTTGAATCATCATTTGTTTGACCCCGTCAACCCGCCAGCTACTTGTTTGATTATGTTACCCTGATTTGTTGGTGATGCTAGGGATGTTGGTCGGACATGCGGGGGATGTTGAAAACGCGGGCTAGTGTAAAATGCGCAAATTTCGCGAGAAAAATGCTGTAAAATACGACATGTTACTGACGGACGACAAACGACTAAACAATTCCCAAAAAAAATCCCCCAAAAAACAAAAAAAACACACCCTTTAGGCGAAGGGCTGACATCCAGGCTGCTGTTGGGCGGGTGATGCTGATGATGCGGGAAGCCAAATCCAAAAACCAATGAAAGGGTGCAAAAGCCAAAGCGCCCGGAGAGGAACTACGAAAGGATGCGAAAAGCCAAAGCTGTCAAAAGCCGCAAAAGCCAAAACGCCACCTGCCGAATGCGAAAAGCCAAAAAGTCACCAAAAGCCGCATAAACCAACAACCAAGAAGCCGAGAAGCCAAAAAGCCAAGAAGCCAAAAAGCGAAGAGAAAAAAACAACGCACAAAAAAACAAATACCCCTCCTCGCCTAAATCAACCCCGAAACATTTCAAGACTCACTCTCATAAAGACCTAAGCCAGCCTAAACTCCCTATAACTTAAACCAGCCTCAGCAACTCCTAACTGTCTCCCAATCAGAACAAAACAACAGCCGTGCCAAGTGAGGCTGGTGATGCCAGATGCGGCAAGCCAACCAACCAACCAACCAACCAATCAACCAACCAACCCAGCCCTAGTAAAAAGAACTGCCCTAGGAAACCAAAACACCGGATCCCGTTGACCGCTTGGTTTACAAAAAAGCTCCAAGGCCAACACAAACCTGAGCTGGAAATCGCCTCTTCCCAATGAGGGTTTGCTCAACAGAGGGGAGGGCATCACAATGCGGTCCTGGGAGGGCATCCCCGCCAACCTTTGGAATTTGACATCAATCAAACCGATGTGTTGGCTTAAGTGCAGCACACTCAAACTGAACACAACAAGAACAAGAACTGAACATCATGATGCGGGGCTGCGAGGAAATCGAAGCCTGAAGGGAAAGCAAAGGTTCCAGAGTTGTATCCAGGTGGTACACATGACGCACATGTTGCGCAGTGTGGCCCAATCCGAGGGTGCGCCAAAATACCTTCCCCACAAATTTTCCTGGAACCCAACAAACGGGTGCTAGTTTGTAGAGGAGTAGGTAGTTAGCAAACGCTATGATATTAAATGATATCGCAGGAGACCGGAGTATCGCAGATGCGTCCTGAACAAAAACACCTCAAGCAGGGCTTGGTGGACACACACTGTGATCGACTGATTGGCAGCGGGACACCAGGTGTTGATAGGCACTGAAAAGCAGCAATATCACATTTTCAGGAGAATACGGAGTCTTCAAGTAGTGAACATGTTGCGGCAGCTTCATTTGCATTGGGCCTTTTGTGCAACCGCAACGAGGGAGCTCCCATTTGGAGATTTGAGAAGCGCCGACCTCAGCATACCCCATCTCGAATGAAAATGGGTGCTTCCCCTGAACTGGGTGCTGAATGGGAGATCTGAAAAAGAAAAAAAAACATACAACAACAGTCATCCGCGTTTGGCTTCCTTTAGTGGACATAAATACACAACCCTGCAAAGGGATAGTCTCAGATCTGCACAGCACTTATGCCTTGCAGCCACTAAAACCATCAGCACCCGGAGGACCTAGAAAAGCAAGACGGGAAGCCAACCATAGAAAACAATGTGGGGAATCACCCCCTAGCAAAGCCAGATGACTCGAATCACATGCCAAAGAAGGTACACACGTCCATGGTATCAAGCCCTTTCTGATGTGAATGCTGCCTCCTGAAGTGCCGCCGACAGTTCATGCCGCACTTGCTCAATGGGCATGAACATCCCAGGTTAATTGGTTGCAGCCATGACTCAAATGGGAGGCTTGGAAACACAAGAAGGTTGCAGATGGCTTTGGGCAAGAACGGTTTACACTTCTGCACATACCAACATCGATACCTGAAATCTTGGAAAGCCGTGGCCCGATTGAATGACAGTGAGTCAAGGAACACAACTACGTCACTACCGAAGTGACTTGAGGTGTGGCAATATTCCACGTGGTGTGTGTGTGTGTGGATCTCAAGCAAGCCAAGGCGCCCCCGGATTCTTGTACCAGCCAATGTGATCCTTGAGGGCAAACGTTGCTTTCAAACGGTTGGAACATCATCCTCAAGCTACAGTGATGGCCAAAACCCCCCGCAAATGTCCAGCTGTTGGCCGCTGGACGTTAAAAAAACAAAACAAAACACAACAACAACAAAAAACAGCGCATGGAGGCCTGGAAAGGAGTTTGATATACTTGGCCCTGCTTCTGAAGAGAACCCTTGCATGCCCCATGTATTGGTTGCGCAGTCGTCGAGGGACATCGAGTTTTTCCAACCAGTCCACCATCGTTCTTCTCAACAACCAGCCGTTTGCCCAGTGTTCTTGAAGATTCCTAGAAAGACGGATCCCTGGAAACAATACTCACTTGCCCAACGCCTGTGGATTGTTCCAGAGTTAGCCTTCAAAAAAATAACCAAACGTGGAAAGTGAAAAGGTCGGTTTTGGGCAGCTGAGAATATGGAAGGCACCCCTAGCATGGTTAGCTTAAGGCATTTTTTGGGGGCCGGACTGCAGATTCCCTCGAAAGTGGTTTGGAGCTGAATCACCGGTTTGGCGGTTAAGGCTGGCTTCCCAGTGACCCAAGAACCAAGGCTTCAAATCCCGCCAATCTAGGCTGGAATTAGGACCCCAGCAAAAATATGTTTTTTGCCTGGTTAGTGGAAACAAAGGGACCCCCAAAAAAGAACCAAAAAAAGTAAAAAGGGGAGCGAATTCTGGAGAAGTTCAATTCGGGAATACCTGAGGACGCGCCCAGCGGGAAAAGAACACACACAGCTTCTTGGAATCCTTGCGGGTGACCAGTGAAACATGGACAGCGCACTAACCAAAAACAACGGATGTAGACGCGAGGGTCCACTGAACAGAGCTTATGTTGTTGTGTTAGATGGATTTAGTGCCCGGTGTTCGCATACAATCCCTCAAGTCAAATCGGGTAGCTAAAGAAGACTTCACAACGTGCCCATGCACGTGCATGTTCAGTTTTGCGCGTAGCGGTGGTATCACAAAGGCTCTTCTTGAAGTCTACATCAGGTTGGCACTCTACGCAGCAAATGAATAGAACAAGGGGTTGAAACTGCTTCGGCAAGTTTGTTTGCAATCCCCTCATTGGAACAACACAACTCAGGTTGAGCGGCGCCAAGCCACTGGATGCTGGCGTGATCACGTATCAACTCTCTTTTAGGGAGTTCCCAGCTCTCAGGTGATGCTTTCTTTGCAAGCTTTGAGGGGCCTAAAAAGAGAGGCTGCCTAGCGTTTGTCCTGGGTTGACCTTCTGCGAAAGTTGTGTGTTTTCAAGTTACTCAGGCACAGCCTGTTTCAAAAAGCACTCTGGACTAACCCCACCTCTGCCCACAAAGAGCTCACTCAACATAAGTAAATAAACTCAAGAGTGGCTCGGTCAAGCGCTGCAGTCAAAGGAGCCCAAACTAAACCGAAACCGCATTGGCCCAGAAGTTGTGGAACTTCGTGGTCTTTGCCCCAAAATGGTCCGGAATTCATGAGTGAATGCTTGGAAGCTGCCACAAATCTCTAAGTCAACAGCCAAGGCTCCGCCTCCACCTGACGGCGTTAACAGATTTGTAGGGAGTTGCCTCTTTCCAGCACCTGGGTCCCAAACCACTGCTTGTTGGACACTTGGGATTGACACGGGCAAAAGCAGTGGGGGGGGGGGGTGTTGGCTCTTCTTACTTGATTTACAGGGAGCACTGGATGTCTGGAATACATTTTGGTAAAGGCACAATCTTCCCATTGAGGTTCTGTCATTCGAATCGGTTGGATCATTTAAGGGGAAATCCTGAAAACGGGCCTGATGCCCGTTGATTGGCTAGGTTGCAGCCCCTTTCCCCAAAAAAAGCCGAACGGCCGGCAAAGGGCCTAGCAGCTCCATAGAACAAAAACCCACGGAACATGACACACCACACAACCCATCACTTCCATGTATGAATACGTCCAGAGTCCGGTCTTCTGGGGCATTCCAAGGGTAGGAACCTACCCCGAAAACAAGTTGGAGGACTACCTTCTTTCAGTTACCTGAAGTTCAAGTTGGGGGAGCAAGCTACCCTCCTCTCCGCCAACGTGAAACCTAGCTGCAAAGTCCTGCAAAGAACAAAGAGTTCCTTTAACAGGGACCGTTTCTCTGGTGGGCTCCATGGCAACGTGGACTGGAGGGTACCTGCAAACAACTTGGGGGTGCTTGAGCATCAACTTCTTGCTGCTCATTTTTCTTTCTTTTGAGGTACCTGAAAATCCAGCGGGGTCCACACCCGAAAGTTTTCGAGTGACCTCCCCAGTCCACCAAGGGGGGGGAGAGGGCGGAGTGACTCCGCGCTCCGCCTGCTGGGCGCCGATCTCGCGCCAGGAAGGGTATTTCCATCCAGTGCGCTTGTCGTAGGCCCAGCTGGTGGAGCTCCTTGGATCACTGGAAAAACCAGAGGTCTCCTTACGTTGGCCCCAAAAGATTCGGGGGCCAAAAAGGATTCGCTCTTGGGCAAGTGAGCGAAAAGTGGCCCTCACGCCGACATCGATGTCGGCGTTCCCAAGCGCATGCATCCGAAAACCACATTGCTTAGTGGTAACCTCCATTTGCTTAGGTCCCCTGGAAAAAATACACATATTTCCAGTAGTGATAGATTCCCTTTAAAACCAACAGGGGAAAATCATTAAAAATAATCTTAACCAAATGGAAGGTAAGTTTCTAGATCAGTTTCATTCCAATTGGTTTGGCTTGGACGTTGGGTCCTTCCCCATTTGGCATTTCCCATTTGGCATCGAGAAGGGAGGCTGGAAATCCCCAAACGAATCCAAACACGAAACATTCGGCGTTGCCTGAGGGTTGCTCGATCAACATGGTGGATAAACAATGACAAGTGACCCAAAATTAACCAGGGTTCCATTTAAGCCCCATCCTAACTCACTCACTTCAAAGGACCTGGAATCAACAGATCAACCATTTGGGACGACTGAAAACGGATCCTGGGAAACTCAGGTTCGCTTTGGGTGAGGGAGCTTTGCAATTCGCCCTCAGAATTAAGTACATTTTCAGATAAGGGTCTTGCGATGGTATTGGGGGGATGGGTGTTCTTTGATTAGTTGCATCACCTCGCCCCCTGTTTAGAAGAAAAAACAACCTGCTTTGGATACGCTTCAACCATAGAAGTGGATACCGCGTATACCGCATGTCAATTCTTACGTTGTGGGGGTAGCAAATGAGTGACCTGGGTGTGTGTTTGTTTCGTTGTTTTGGTGGCTTCAAATGATACCACAAGGAAAACCTCCATTGAAGGTCCTCGCCATAGATCACCTTCCGACTTGAGTCCACACTTGGCCCCTTTGACTATAGTCCCACACCCCGAGAGCATTGGCCAAAGAAAAGTCCAACGTTTGAAGTCCCAGAACTCAGGCAGCTAGTCTTGGCCGCTGCTCCCATCCATGTAAACAAACTACTGGAAGTGGCGGGTATTGGAAAACTACTTGCCTTTTGGAAAACGCTCCCTGCCTACTTCCATGATTCGCAAGGGTGCCCGCTAAAATGGTCCAAACGCAAAGCATGACCAAAGTCCAAGAGCTTAGGAAGTGATCACTTGTACAGCAGTTTGTTCTGTCTCCTTAACATCCAATTGTGTAAGCCTGGAGAAGTAGAGCAACCTCCAGTGATAGATGTCCTGAATTCAACCTCCAGGCGGCCCAAACACCCGCGCTGACACGTAGATCCATGCGTCCCAGCGACATATCCTTGGCGGCAGCCTCAGTGCTAATGCCATGGCCGCCGGCAATCACCGGTTTGAAGAGCGTCTCGCTCCAGAACATCAACCTGAGCAACCGGCAATGTGGATCCCGGGTCAAGAATCCCGTCCTATTCTTCGGGGGTGTTTCCTGCAAAAGCGATGAATCCCCACTAGACCGGGACCAGGATTGGGGTCAACATTGCTTGGGTCTGCCTTTTTGGGGGGGACACCCAAAAATGGGTTTTGGCTCTGCACCAAACAGCGCAACCTGAAAAAAGACACACCAACCTATTCTTAGAAAGTGGGTGTGAATTTTGTGCTCGCCGGACCCTTTGGTGGGCATCATTTTGGTAGGAATTCATGTTCACCGCACCTACTCTAACTAATTGCCAACCTTGATTGTGCCAGGTTGTGATTGTGGCTCACATGAGCCCCTAACATTGCAACAATGCAAACGGTATGCAAAGTAAACAAAAGGGCACCTTAGCCAGCAGTCACCTTTCGGGGTCACCGCCGATGGTCTAACCGGTTGATTACTCCAGAGTTGGCACATTGAATGTCAAACATTGGGCCCTTCTTTGGGGTAACTAAAAAGGAGACCCACCATAGGATCATTGGAGTTCCCAGTGTTAACAAACATCATGTATCCGCCTGTGTTCCCCCTTCCCTCGAGCTGTCCCCAATTGTTCTAGTATCCACGCACTTATTTTGTTTCCTTTGTTTCCGCTCTCCTCACCCTCACATTTCCCCTTACTCCCCACACATCGATATAAGCGACACCACTATATTGTCGAGGACACCTTCTTTTTTTTCCCGGGAAAGTGTGCCCCCCTTTATGGTTCCTTCCGTGCAACTACGCAAGGAACCTTCTGGCTTCCCTTGTCGCTGACCCCGAAACGTCAGCTTTTCCGCTTCCTGGCGACACGAACCGCAAAGCTCCGAGCGGCTGAGAGTAGCTCTCCGTCTTCCCCAGCGCCTCGCGCTCCAAAACCCCCGCCTTGCCGAAGCGGACCTTCCTCGGCCGGAGGAGTCCGCAGCGATCGGATGCGATTTTCGGGTGGGGGGGGGTCCACCCAAAAATGGCGTCAGAGTGCTCTAAAACAAAAATATGTTCACACCCAAACCGGAGGTACGGCCTTGATGCCCGAAAAAACTTGCAAGTCAACCAAACACAAACCATGGTCGCATTAGGTATATACCCTTCAGTGGCGAAACAGGTGGGTGTACATCCCATTTCGCCCAAGAGTAGGTCTGCTTTGAGGGTAATGGAAAAGCATCTTGCAGGTCCCGCGCTGGAGCGCCCAAAGCAAAGAAGCATCTTGCTCGCGCCCAGGCAGTCACCGGAAGATTGGATCGGTACCGATCTCGGGTTTCACCACCCCTTCCTGTGGCTTTGAATAATCTTAAACGCTGCGTGCCATCAGCACAACGACGCGGGCCCAGCTTAATCTGTCACTGTCCCTTTGTGCCGGCTCCCAAACTCTAGTTCCGCCACGCTTGGAGGTATCATCAGATCCTACACGGATCCAAAAAACATAGCTTAAACTTGTTCAAATGGATTGCGCGGAAAAACCACGACTTTTATATGAGTCTCCTATTGGCGCAGCCCTTTTTTGGGTTCCATGTGCATTGTGAATTTGTAGAGGAGCAACCAAACTGCTAAATTGCCACTAGAATGGTCCAAGCGAAAGTGCAAGTAGTCCAGGAACGAGAGTGAGTTAGTTCTTGGGCGAGCCTTCCCGTTCGCCGAAACAAAAACTCCCAGATCTGGCAACTGAGTGAGTGATTCATCCGCGCCGAGCAAGGAGATCCAAAATTACTTTAAAAGAGATCCAAGTGTCTTTAGGCAAGCAAAGGCATCCGAAGCAAAGGAAGAATTAGATGGCACGTTGGCCAAGATACCTTGTTCTTTGCCTGCGCCTACTAGAAGCGAACAGCACCGAACAAACAGAATAACTATACCAAGTATATTGAGAATCTCACTTCCTGAGTGGATTTGCAGAAAAAAGAAAAAAAGTCCCACCTTTTATTTGCCGCTAACCTGGTCTTCCCAACAAGTAGTTCAAGTCCAGGAACTCAGGAAGTGAGGAACAGAGAAGGACCTATGCCGGGGATGCGCTTCTTGCTTGCCAGGCAACGCCTCAGTGTCGGACTCCGGCTGGGAGACCTAAGTGCACGTAGTTTTTGGGTCGGTTTTCTGAAAAAACATCAGGGAAAGCCAAGGTGTTCCATTGATCTGCAGTCGCTAGGCCCAACGTGCACTGTTCTTTCTCATTAGGCTTAGTGAACACCTTTAGTCATCTTGGAAATACTCTCGTGAAACCGTGAGTTAGATATTGGTTTATAGCTTTACTGTGACACCTGCTCTCGCAGCGGCAATGGGTATGAACTCTAATTGGGGAGCCTTTGGTGGACATCATTCAGGTTTGGATTCATGTCCACCATTCACCCCGAGGTGAGTCCCTATGCTTAAACATCTTAATTAGTCAAATTGTGAAGGTCCGGTCAATTCACTAGCTTCAAAGTCTAAAGCTTATGATCGTGACGAGGAGTGAGGGCATGCGTGGCAAATGGCCTCTTGCCTGTACTTGTGAAAGCAAGCTACCTCAAAGGAACCTGCTCCTTTTCGGGAGTCCCCTGTTATAACACATGCCCAAATTGCTCGAGCGCTTTGATACAGCTTACGTAAGCCTTTCAAGCTCCACAAGCCCAGGTGACCTAAACATGGGGCCACTGGCTGGGAATCGTATAGTGCGGTCAAGGGCAACTGCGTGCCCTGACCTGTCCCGAGAATAGTTGGGCTAAGGGCATTTTGTTGAGGGGTACCTGGTCATAGTGTAACCCAGCCAATCAAACTCACCAGCGATCCCAGTTTGGGCCCTGTTTTCAAGTTACTGCTTCTTCGGTTTATTTGGTGCAGGAAACGGTATTGTTGTCAACTGTCACTCTTCGCCTTTCCGCCTCAGTGCTGAGTTTGATGGGTTTTCCAGGAAGGCTCAGATCTCAGGAAAGGAAGTTGCGAAAGCCACCTCCCCTCTGGTGTCTCTCCTTGCACAGGCCCAGCCCTCAACTGGAACCGCAGAGCCGTGTTCCTTACTTCCGTGGATTGGCAAAAGACGGTCCAAACTTGACATTAAGATTGTTTTACCAAGTAAAGTCAACCAACTTGGATATTCAACTCACCTAGTAAGTAGGTTATAACCATGGTTATAACTCGGCAAAACGTGGTTAGCCCACGTATAACTAAGGAGATATAACCTATCACATGGGTTGAACATCTAAGTGAGTGAGATTGACTGAGTTCCCGTTTTCTACTCCGAGGCGCAAAGGAGACGACAATCTCCCCCGAGCCGCCCAAATGCAAATGGATCTGCCCCGAGCACGGCGGCTGACGGCAGTCCTGCGAAAGGCCAAAGCCAGGCGCGAGGCAAAGAGAATTAGGCATCGGGGCATGAAAGGATCTTGGTTTTGCTACAACTACTACTTACCCCTTAAAACTCCAAGCCCTGGGGAAGTTAATCTTTTACAGACATATATATAGCCCATGTTACCCAACAAGTTGAAAAGTGTGTTTTTAAGAGGTAAGACTGGGTCCTCCAGTAGAGAGGTGAGAATAAGGGTACCAACTGTTTTTGCTGTAGTCTATTTTAGTAGGGGAACCCTCCCCCAAAAAAGAAACGGTAAAAGGGCACTACTGGGGGACCTAGACTATATCAACAACAAAAAACAAACAAACAAACATATAATATCCCTACCCTTTTGTGCTAGGTGTTTGTTTGTTTTCTGCAGGCACGCGCTGGGGATACCGTACTCCTGGGACCGAAAGGGCATGCTTGGCCGAACCCCAACACTCCGGTTTGCAGATCAGCAATGTGGCAAAGAAGATAGCAGCTCTCAAACCAATCCTTACCTGCCCAAAGCACCTGAACATATAAGATCTGCCTTTGCACTGCCTAGACGAAGCTGCGAACATCAGGCAAAAAACAAAAAAGCCTGATTCATCGATCCGGTACGCCTCCGCCAAGCCAGTAGTTGCCTTCAAGCCTTTGAGGAGGGTTGGTACTGTGGATGCGCCAAATACGCGGATGGACGAAATCCGTTCGCACCATGAACCACTGTTTGTTGGTATCTGCAGTGGAATCATCAAACACCTGGGTTTCTTAGGTGGTGCGAGGGAAACCTCAAACCTTCCGTAACGTACCAAGGTTTTGTGGTTGGGTGAACCTCTCAAAAGCAAGACTTGGAGTCGACTAAGCCAAGAAACACCATGCTCATCAAGGCCCATTAGATCCCATCCCGCGTAACTCATAACGCAAGCCCCCCAACCATCACCTTCCCGGAGTTCTCTTTGGGGTGCGGCGGCGTTTGGAAGCCTCCCTTGCCCGCTGGCACCCGGGCCTTGCTCACGGGCATCCTGAGCTGAAGTCCTACTCCCTGACCGTTCCAGAGGTGAAAGTGGGCCGGGTTTATTTGCACCGGATTTTCTGGCAAAGGGGAGGGGGGTCCCTTCAAAAAAATGAAGGTCTGCATCTGACATGGAACATCCCTTGACGACATGAATGCCTTCAAAAAACATGCAGATCTGCATTTGACATGGGACATCCCCGACAACATGAATACCTTCAACAAATGCAGGTCTGCATGTGACATGGTACACACCCTGGGGTTTATGATTCCTGGGTCCAAATTGCCCTACACAATAGGCTTCATTTAGACCAACCTCATCCAACCTCATAAGCAAAAAGACACACACCCGTTTGAGGCTCATTCACAAATCCCCCTGCCAGGAAGATTCAACACAATTACAAAGGAGGTGCTCAAAGAAAGGGCAATACAAAGGTATCTTCACACAATCACATGTATGAGCCACATCCGATACATCCGTCTCTCCAACGGAGATGTTTGTTGGTTCGCCCGCTAGAGCTTCGGGCTTGACAGAATAGATATGAGCAAAGCACAAATGGACGCACCAACCCAGCAGCTATACAGAGGTTTTTATGGGGGCCGTCCCGGGCACACATCCCAAAACCCAAGTGCAAAGAGCCGATAAAGGGGCCGAAATCCCGATCCTCGTTCAAAGACACAAACACAAAGGGTGGTTGAAGCAATGTTTTCACCTTTGAGCGGGCTTCTTATCAGTGAAGCCCAGAACCCCCCCCCCAAACAAAAAAACATGCGCCATGGTCAAATCTCCCTTTGTGGGTCATGTCATGGCAACCTTATTTGGAAGCCCTATAATGGTTCTCTAAAATCCCAACGAATGGGTCCATGACCACCCTGGGTTATCCCATGTTACCCCGAAGGGCACGCTTCTATGGCGCAGTTGGTGTCAAGAACCGGATACAAATCTTCAAACCACAGACCGCACTTGCTGAGTTGGTTGGCCAAACTAGCTAAACTTCAGGCAGGTTCTGAGTTGGAATGGTGGTCTGGGGATTGTTGAGGTTGACGTTGCAAGGGGAGCACAAGTTCAAATTTTAGCAGTTAAGTGGTTGGATTTCAACCACTAAACCACAATAAGCCAAAATGTGTCCAATGTTTCCCAACAACCATGGGTAGAGGATGAGAAACCAAACCAAGCCAAAGCACCAATTGGAGGAAAGCCCGCTTGCAGCTTGCAGCTGGCAGCTTGCGGTTTCCGAGCGTCGGGATTTCCATGTCCGCGTGGTTGGGCGGACGCTTGTACGGGCTGGTCTTCGAGCTTGTGGGCTTGTCCTCGGCGCGTTGGAGGGGGTCGGAAGGTGCGGGACATGACTGGGAAGTTCCAATCAACCAACAAAACAAATCAAATGTGGTTAAACCAAACGGAACTTGGCACTTGTAGCTTGCAACCCATTGAAATGAACATACATAAATCTAAAGGGAATCACCTTGTAGGTTCCCTTAACGACTTTGCTTGGCCAAACTTGGGCCAAGGGCTTGTCGCTTTGCTGGGTATATAACCCCGAAAGGGCAGCTCCCCTCCAAAAGGGATGTACTCACACTAAACGTGCGCTATTTAATTTATTCATCAACCAGGGCTTTCTTAATCTGGGGTTTCCATTCTGACTCAAGCGGGAGGTTCCCGGTGTACTCAAAACTTGGTTCACGTTGGAAGGGGATCAAACAAATAAAAAGAAAATATCAGTTAAGTGGTTGGATTCCAACCACTAAACCACAACAAGCAAACATGTAAAATGT